CCTGAGTGAAGAGCCAGGAGTAACCCCTGAGCATCTGCTGGGTGTGACCCCCCCCCCAAAAAAAGACGGGCTCCTTGTCTCTGCTGCCCTTTTTTTTTTTTCTTTTTGGGTCATGTACAGGGGTTACTCCTGGCTCACACACTCAGAAATTACTCCTGGCATTGCTTGGGAGACCATATGGGATGCTGGGAATCGAACCAGGGTGGCCCACGTGCAAGGCAAACACCCTACCCCCCTACCAGCTGTGCTATCACCCCAGCCCCAGGACTCTCTTTACCTCCGAGACAAGAGAGGCCTTATCTGACTCTGCCGGCTAGAAAAAGAGAAGAGTTTCTGGGTTAATGTTTCACAGAGACTGGGGAAGCCAGTTTTGACAGGACTTTTCAGAGCCTGGGGTAAATTTATCTGTAGGAGAATCTCTTAAGTTCCAAGGCAGAGGGTCTGTGGCGGCAGGACCTTCTGCCTTCCTGGACCTCTCTGACATGATGAAAGCGCTGACTGGGGGCCAGGGAGATGGCCTGGAGGGCCCAGGCTCTGCATGAGGGAGCCCCAGATTTGATCCCTGGTACCACATGGTCCCTCTAGCAAAGGAACTTCTAGGAAGGAAGGGAGATTAAGGGATAAGGGAAAGGGAAGCGGGGAAAGGGTGAGGAGGGAAGAAAGCAGAGTGAGCGCGTAAGGAGGCCCTGGCAGCTGAGTGTAAGGTTAGAGATTTGGGATGCGGCAGCATCGACCCCCAACCCGCAGGCCCATCTCTGGGTAGGGATGGCAGGCGGGATCCAGGGACTTGCCTTTGCCACCAAACCGTAATCATCCCCCCTGAAAAACACACACCCCTGCGGTCAGAGCCATAGTCATTGGACGGGGGGGGGGGGGGGGGGGGGGGTTCCTTGCATGCAGCCACCCAGGTTCGATCCCCACCAGGTTCGATCCCCACCATGACATATTGTTTCCTAAGCCCTGCCAGGCTGCCAGGAGCAATCCCTGAGCACAGGGCCAGAATTTAGCCCTCAGTACTGCTGGGTGTGCGCCCCAAGGTTCTTGGGGAAAGCCCCAGGATCTCCCAAACCCTCCCAGCCTGTGATGTCACGACTTCTAACTGTGTCAGAACCTACCCCTGACTTCCAGGAACTAATGCCCACCAGAGGCACGAAAGCAGGAGACACATAAAGGAGCAGGAGTGATTTTAAAAATAGAAACGGGGACAGAAGCTATTCTACAGCAGTTAGGGCGTTTGCCTTGCACGAAGCTGACCTGTGTTCGATCCCCGGCATCCCATATGGTCCCCCAAGCACCGCCTGGAGTAATTCCTGAGTGAAGAGTCAGGAGTCACCCCTGAGCATTGCCCTGAAACAAAACTAAACAAACAGGGGTGGGGAAGAGCTGAGTGGACACTTAGCACTTAGCACGGGTTCAGTGCCTGGCCCCACATGGTAATCCGTGAGCACAGAATCAGGAGTAGCCCCTAAGCATCGCCAGTTGTGGCACAAAGCCCTAGCCCTTCTCCCCGACCACCACTATAGTGAGGTTAACACACAGCGATGTTCAGGGCTTCCTGTACTATTGATCCAGCCAGAGTTTAAGATTTTTTTTTTTAAAAAAAGGCAAAATAGAATTAGAGATAGTACAGGGATTAAGGTACTTGCCCTACATGTGGCTGACCCCAGATCAATCCCAGACACCACGGATCCCAGAGACCATGTATCCAAAACACCATGGATCTCAAAAACTATAGATCCCAGATACCATGGATCCCAGAGATCACAGATTCCAGACACCACAGATCCCAGATACTATGGAACCCAGACACCACAGATTCCAGAAACCATGGATCCCAGACACCACGGACCCCACACATCATGGATCCCAGACACCCTAAGCACTGTCTGATATGTCCCTTTCCCCAAATTAATTTTTGAAATTAAAAATAATTTTGAAAAGCAAAACAAAATTGTAAGTGACAGTGGTTGCAAATGACAGCCGTAAATACAGACCATCTTCAAGCTGGCTCGAGCGACAGCACAGTGGTAGGGTGTTTGCCTGCGTGCAGCTGCCTGACCGAGCCAGGTTTGATTCCTCCGCCCTCTCGAAGAGCCCGGCAAGCTACCGAAAGTATCTCACCCCCATGGCAAAGCCTGGCAAGCTACCCGTGGTGTATTCAATATGCCAAACACAGTAACAAGTCTAATGATGGAGACATTAATGGGCCCCCTCGAGCAAAACGATGAACAACGGGAGGACAGTGCTACAGTGCTACAGTGCTTCAAGCTGAAGAAGGTGTCCCTCTGGGCCCAGCAAGTTGAGGAAGGGTTTTGTCAACACTGGAGCTAGGGTTTGAGGGCTGATGGGGTGCAGAGCAGGGATGAGAAAGATGAGAAAAATGGAGGCCAGACTCAAGTCTCCGTGCTCAGACACTTCCTTCCCCAGGGGCGGAGGCCAGAGAATGAGAACAGACTCTGTCATTTGGGCATCTACCCTATACACATACACATACACACACAGATACAGACACACACACACACACACACACACACACAAAACCTCACAAGTGCCATTTGGATGTTCACTATATTTTGAGTTTCTAAGAATGAAACCTGCAAGTGATGAAAATGTCCAGCAATCAGATCAGCCAAGAGATGTGTGTGGTCCCAGAACAGGCTGTCACCCTGGGAAGCTATGAGGAGAGGCACAGTGACCTACCAGGGAGGAGAAACGAGTTACAGGGCAAGTCTAGGATCCTGATGTTTACGGAACACAAGACACAACTGGAGTATCTCTGTGCCTACAAAAATATGAAAGCACCCGGGTTCAATCCCCAGCATCCTATATGGTCCCCCGAGCACCACCAGGAGTAATTCCTGAGTGCAGAGCCAGGAGTAGCCCCTGTGTATCACTGGGTGTGACCCAAAAAGAAAAAAAAAAAGAAAGGTGACAGGTGCCATAGTACAGCAGGCAGGGCGCTTGGCATGCATGCTCCCGACCCAGGTTCAATTCCTGGTACCTCATATGGAATCCCAAGCAACGCCAGGAGTAAGCACTGAGCACAGATGAATGTACCCCCACCGCCCTCCTCAAAGGCTGAATACCAAAACCAGGACAGAATAAAGATGAGACTCAAAGGGGTCTTTCACTTTTCTTTTTCTAAGAACTTGGTTTCTGGGCCACACCTGGAGATACTCGGGACTTACTCCTGGCTCTGTGCTCAAGGGGTCTCTCTTGGAGGAGCTTAGGGGACGACGTGTGTTGCTGGGGGGGGCTGAACCCCACGTTGACAGGTGCAAGGCCAATCTCCACACTCTTTCTCCAGCCCTCCAACCTCTGCTTTTCTCTTTACTGCCTGGGGGCCACACCTAGCACGGCTCCCTGACTGGGGATCATCACCAGTTGTGCTGGGCGGGGCTGGGGCCATGCAGAGACTGGAGAAGGCACCACTCTAAGGACAGTCCCAGCCCGGGACTTTCATCTGCCTCTATTGTTTCACTTGTTGCCACTTGCAGCAACACTGGGGGGGGGGGGCGGGGCGTTGAATCTGAGCCCCTGTCTGCAAAGCCCGTGCTCAGCCTGCTGGAAACTCTCTCCCCAGTCCTAGGACCCTCACTCTGGACTCCTGAGTTCCGCACTGTTTCCACTTTGCAGTGAAAAGATAAATGTTACCCAGTTTTCTACCCAACCTGGGGGTTTCATGCACAAGAGCTGAAAGACAAGCTCAAAGGGCTGAAGAACAGACTTTGCAAGCTGGAGCCCTGGTTCCATGGCAGGGCACCTCAGGGTTCCCCCAAGCACTGAGTCGGGAGTAGTCCCTGAGCACAACAGAGCCTGGTCCCAAACAACCCCGCACCTCTCGCCCCCACCCCCCAAATGTGAACCACCTGAGTCACAGAAACAGACTTGCAACTATGTTGTTCTGATTCAAGGCCCCCAACCTCCCTGAGACAGCACTAAGACTGGGACAGAGACCGGAAGTGGGACAGAGACCGGAAGTGGAAAAGGGAGGCCTAGAAGGGAACTCAGACCACAGCTGTCAGTGCACCAGAGTGAGATCCTGCTAAGATCAGCTCATTGCTGGTCTTTAGTTGTTGCTGCTTGTTTGTTTGGGGGCCACACGCCCACCTTACTCCTGGGTCTGTGCTTAGAGACTGGCCACACATAAGGTAAATGCGCTACCCATTTTATATCATTCTGGCCCCTTGGTGCTGATTTTTTTTTCTTTTTGGGTCACACCCGGCGTGGACAGGGGTTACTCCTGGCTCTGCACTCAGGAAATACTCCTGGTGGTGCTCAATGGACCATATGGGATACTGGGAATCGAACCCGGTCTGCGCGTGCAATGCAAACGCCCTACCCGCTACACTACTGCTCCAGCCCCACAGTGCTGATTTTCAACGCTATCAACCAGGGGTGTTTCATTCTCCTCTTCACCACTGCTGCTTCCTTTTGTCTTGTTTTTGTTTGAGAGCCACACCTGGCTGTGCTCCAGGAATTGCTCCTGGCAGTGCTCGGGGGACCATGAGATGCCGGGTTGGAATCCCAGGGCCTCCCACATGCAAAGCAAGTGCTCCAATACAAGCTGCCTCCCCAGCCCCAGAGGGCTTCATTCTTTACAACCGGACTGAGAGAACACTAAACTCTCAAGGCGCCCATACCCGGCTTGGGTTGGAATATTTTGGCCTTTCTGTCCCCAGGGAATCAGGGCTGAAGCCACAGTACAGAGGAGGGGTTACAGGCAGCTGACTCGGGTTTGATCCATAGCACCCCGTATGGTCCCCGGAGCCCCACCCGGAGTGATCCCTGAGCCAGAGACTGGAGTAAGACCTGAGCACTGCTGAGTGTGGCCCAAATCTCACCCCACCCCCACCCCACCCCCAACAACAAAAACCAAGAAACAGAAAATCAAAAACCTGAACATTCCAGCTAATGCCCCCAGCCCAGGCACACACAGCCGACTCTGGGGCTGGAAGGAATGTTCTAGTAATGTCTGTGGGGAAAGGCCCATCACTCACCATGGGGAATCAGAAGGAGGCTTTTCACGATACTTTTGAGGGGGCCGAGGCTCATCTGATAAGTGGTGGCAAACTCGGAGAGCCGGGCCAGGAACCGTTCCACCTGCAGAGGGGGCAGGGCAGACCAGCCTCAGGGTCTGAGCTGACCCTGTCACTCACCCGCACGTCTCCCAACCCTTGTACCTCTTTGGGCTCGATGAGGTAGTGGAAGAGTACTTCAGTCAGCGCTGAGAACTGCTGTGAAGAGAAGAACATAGAACGTCAGCCAAATTTGGCAGCCGGAGAAACGGCACAGCGGGTAGGGCACTTGCCTTGCATGCAGCCACCCTGGGTTCGAGCCCTGGCACCTCATGTGGTTCTCGGAGCACTACAGGGAGTGATCCCTGAGTGCTGAGCCAGTAGTAAGCCCTGAGCACCACTGAATGTGGTGCTCAAAACCAAACCTGGGGCTGGAGCAACAGTACAGCAGGTAGGGCGTTTGCCTTGCACGTGGCCAACCCGGGTTTGATTCCCAGCATCCCATATGGTCCCCTGAGCACCGCCAGGAGTAATTCCTGAGTGCATGAGCAAGGAGTAACCCCTGTGCAATGCCATGTGTGATCCAAAAAGAAAAAAAAAAAACAAATTCATAACAATAATGTCAGCAAAATTCTCCAGGGGTCATCCAAAACCAACCCCTTAAATAGAGGAATTCAGGATTGCACAGGCACAGCTGTTGGTTTTGACCACCTTAAAGGTACAAATACGGGGCTGGAGCGATAGCCAGCGGGTAGGGCGTTTGCCTTGCACGCAGCCAACATGGCCGACTCAGGTTCGATTCCCAGCATCCCATATGGTCCCCCGAGCACCGCCAGGAGTGATTCCTGAGTGCATGAGCCAGGAGTGACCCCTGAGCATCGCTGGGTGTGACCCAAAAAGCAAAAAAAAAAAAAGGTACAAATACTCATTGTACACAGTCCGAGTCAATAGGCCACTGCACCTACACCTGAGAGATCACCGACCTGTGTGAACAGAGGCACACAGGTAACTCACACAGGGCCAGGAGGCAGCTCAGGGGGCTGGAGTGCACGCAGCAGGCCCAGAGTGGACCTCCAGCAAGGCACAGTCACCCCCAAACGTGTGGGAGTGACCCGCCAGCACGGAGCCAGGAGGACTCCCTGAGCACTGCTGGGTGTGGCCTAAAAAATCGACGCCCCAGCCCCTGCCACCTCCAAACCCCCCAAAAATGCTGGGACCAGAGAAGGAGAATGGCGGGAAAGGCGCTTGACGCCAGGAGTGATCCCTGAGCACAAAGTCAGGAGTAAGACTTGAACACAGCTGGGAAGGGCCACCCCCCACCCTCAAACACACACCCATGCACGGACTAAAGGAAAAATCATCAGAATCACCAGCGCCAGTGATCAAACCCAGGACCTCACATATGCAAGGCGAATGCTCTACTACCAGTTCTGTATCAGCAGTTACTTCTTTTGATCTGCTCCTTTTATTGGGGGCGGGGTGTTAATTTTTAAAAAATTTTAAATCCTCTCACCCCCTCATCTTTTTTTTTTTTTTTTTTTTTTGCTTTTTGGGACATACCCAGCGCTGCTCAGGGGTTACTCCTGGCTCTGCACTCAGGAATTACTCCTGGCAGTGCCTGGGGGCTGGGGGTGAACCATATGGGATGCTGGGGATTGAGTAAAGCAAACACTCTACCCGCTGTACTATCATTCTAACCCCGTGTTTTGGTTTCTGAGTCATACCAGGGGGTGCTCAGGGATCACTCGTAACAGGGCTTGGAGGATTGAATCCAGGTCAGCTTGTGTGCAAGGCAAATGCCTCCCATCCTAATCTCTGAAGATTTAAAAGTTAAAACAAATAATGTAATTAATGTAAGTGCAAAATGAATCAACTAGCATTAAAAAAAAAAGTCTCCCACCTCAATCCCACCCTACAGAGCGACTCTGGACATCTCTGTGGGTGTCCCAGAAGTCTCTCTCTGTGCACTGTGTGTGCAGACACATGTACAGTGCCAGGGACTCACATATGCAAGGATTGTGCTCTACCACTGAGTCACATCCCTGGTCATTTCATTTTCACTTTTTGTTGGTTTCTTTCATTGCTTTTTTTGGAGGGTTCGCAGTCAGGGGCACCCTAGGGTCATTCCCAAGTGCAGAGCCAGAGATCCAAGCTCAGGCTCCCAGGGGCTAGGCCTGTGCTCCCGCCCACCAGGACTGTCCCTCAGGGCCCCATGTAATTGCTTTTAAATATAAAAAGACTCCCTGCACCTAGCAACAGCCTGCACCTTGCCCATTTTTGACTAATTATCTCTTAGAGATCGGTCGGCAGATATAATTGTACCCTTCTTTTATCAACGGATGGCATTTGCTTGTACATTTAATATAATTCACCTCACTAGAGATAAACATCAGTGTTTCTGATGTTATTGTGAACAATGAGGCCATGAACACCCTTCCACATATCACTCTGTTCACGTGTATCTATAAAAAATTTTTTTGCAGGAGAGCTAAGATAAATTCTTTTAGGGGCAGGGTCCACACAGGTAGAGTTCAGTAATTTTTTTGTTTGTTCGTTTTTCTTTTCTTTGTTTTTAAGCCACACCCAGTGGTGCTCAGGACTTACTGCTGGCTCTGCACTCAGAGGTCACTCCCGGAGGGCTTGGGGGACCATATGCAGTGTTGGGGATGGGACTCAGGTTGGTTGTGTGGAAGACAAGTGCCTTTGAACTCTCTGACCCCTTCCTTCCTTCCTTCCTTCCTTCCTTCCTTCCTTTTCTTCCTTTTCTTCCTTTCTTCCTTTCTTTTTTGCTTTTTGAGTCACACCCAGAGATGCAGAGGGGTTATTCCTGGCTCTGCACTGAGGAATTACTCCTGGCAGTGCTTAGGGGACCATATGGGATGCTGGGAATCAAACTTAGGTCGGCCACGTGCAAGGCAAATGCCCTACCCGCTGTGCTATCACTCCAGTCCAGGCCCATGTTTTCTTAGATGCTCCCTGGGCCAGGGTTGTGGCTCAGTGGTGGAGTGCATGCTTTATATGATGAGGCCAAATCTGATTCTTCCTAGTACGACATGGTTCCCAAGCACTACCGGGAGCAATCCCTGAACACAAAACCAGAAGTGACCATCACTACACCCCATTATTTGATCTCTGACCAAGTGTATTTCCTTTAGCACCCAGTACCTTTTAAAAACTGAGGGGCCGAAGGGGGCTGGGGCAATAGTACAGCGGGTGGGACGCTTGCCTTGCACGTGGCCAACCCAGGTTCCCATATGCATCCCTTATGGCCCCCTGAGCATCGCCAGGAGTATATTCCTGAGTGGAGAGCCAGGAATAACCCCTGAGCACTGCTGGGTATGGCTCAAAACCAAAACCAACCAACTACCCAAACAAACAAAACTAGGCCAGAAAGACAGCACTGCAGGTAAGACACGGCAGAACCAGGTTTGGTCCCCAACATCCTATTTGGTCCCCTGAGACTGCCAGGAATGATCCCTGAGCACAGAAACAGGAGTCAGCCCTGAGGACCACCAGGTATGGCCCTCAAAACAAAACACAAACAAAGAGGTCATGAAAAGAAGCCGTACAGCTGCTTTGCCATGTCCAGCCTCATCTTATAGTTTGGGTTCCACCTCCTTGGAGGGTCCCATTTTCTCTCTCTCTCTTTTTTTTTTTTTTGGGTCATACCCAGGGGATTACTCCTGGCTCGGCACTCAGGAATTACCCTGGCGGTCCTCAGGGGACCATATGGGATGCTGGGAATCATATGGGATGCTGGGAATATGGGACCATATGTGATGCTGGGAATCAAACCCGGGTCGGCCTCATGCAAGGCAAACGCCCTCCCCACTGTGCTATCACTCCAGCACCCCCCACTTTCTCTTAGCAGTGGCTTCAAACTATCCGGTTGATTGTTAAGGATCCACATTGCATTGCTATCTCCACCTTCTAAAGCCTTCTGAGCCCTGACTAGACAGTGCTAAGGAGACTGACTCCCCACCTAAGGAGAAAGTGACCTCCCCAGATTCCTCCAAGGAGCCTGCTGGGAGACTGGCCCAGGGCACTTGGAATTGTCAATCTTGATAATGAATGCAAATGAGCCTCTGCAGAGAAGGGTCCTTCCTCACAAAGGAACAATATTCCTTGAATGAGCTGAGAAAGGGTTTGCTAAAGGGTTTGCTAAACTCTTTCCCCATCTTGGCCTAGGGTCGGGCACAGCTGTCCCTCCCCGGAACGCTCACCTGTCCATGACATGCATGAAATAAAAGGTCTCCTCTAATCTTACCAGGAATTCGAGGAAAAGGTGCTCAAGGTCACACTAGAGAACAACAAGGCAGTGAAATAAACTATATTTCACTTATCAGATCTGCAAAATTAAAAGTTTGATGGCACTGGTACTTGAGCAAGGCGCCCCCCCCCCCCCAGGAAGCAGACATGATCACAGGACAGATAAGAGGATTTACTCGGGGCAAGTATTCTGCAGGGGAATTCCACAATCCTTATCGAATTTTAAGTGATCATTCCACAGCAGAAACTGTGCCCTTCAGATGTTCTGAGAAGTAAAACTGGACATATTTATACAAAGTAGACTGTTAAACAGCATTGTTCTTTGTGTGTGTGTGTGTGTGTGTGTGTGTGTGTGTGTGTGTGTTTGGGCCATACCCAGCGATGCTGGGTGTTTTACTCCTAGCTCTGCACTTAAGAATTACTCCTGAAGTCCTTGGGGACCAAGCCACATGCTAGGTAATCCATGTAGTATTTCTTCAGCACTGGAATCTGCATCCAAAGCATGCACCCCAGGCCTTTAAGTCAGCTCCCAGGCCCCTCACCTCCATTTTCTGATCTACTTCAGATACGGCTTCCTCAGCATAAGAAGCAAACCCAGGGGCCAGAGAGATAGTGGGAGTGTTAAGGCACTTCCTTTTATGCAAGGGACTCCAGTTCTGTCTTGGCATTGCATACGAACCCCCCCAAGCACTGCCAGGAATAATCCTGGAACACAGGAGTAAGCCCTGAGCACAGCTCGCTGTGGCCCCGAATCCTAAATAAGTAGGGGAAAATAGCACACTGCGGACCCGGGTTCTATCCCCAGCACCACAAACGGTTCCCCAGCACCTACCCAACACATTCTCTCTCCAGCCTCCTCCATATTTAATTTAATTTTCTTTTATTAATTTCAGTTTGGGGACCACGCTGGCAGTGCTGGGGGGTTGAGGTCAATCCCCTGGAGCTTGGGGAACTATGGACAGAACTCAGGGATAGAACTCAGAATTCCTGCACGCCAAGCAGGCATTCAATTCACTGAGCTATTCCTCTGACCTGTGGCTTTCGGACATGGCTGGTGGCACGGGGAGTGGCTCAGTAGAAAGCAGAGCGCATGCCTAGCATGTTGAAGAGCCTAGATTTGATCTCCACCGTCTCTAAAAAAAAAAAAAAATGTTCCTCCAAGCCAGGCCCAGCCCCTGAGCACTAATTGGTGTGGTGCCCCTCCCCTTCCCCAAAGCCCTCCCCCAAGAAAGCTCATAGCTGGGCATCTCCCTTACCCCCCAAAAAAGACAAACAACAGGGGCTGGAGTGATAGCACAGCAGGGAGAGCGTTTGCCTTGCAAGAGGCAGACCCCTTGGTTCAATTCCCAGCATCCCATAAGGTCCCCTGAGCACCGCCAGGAGTAATTCCTGAGTGCATGAGCCAGGAGTAACCCCTGTGCATTGCCGGATATGACGCAAAAAGCAAAAAAAAAAAAAAGGACAAACAACAGATCAGACAATTCAGTGTTTGGGCCCAGCAGTGCTGAGGGCCACCCGGACCCCTGAGAAGCTCCTACCCTCTAGTTCCTGGGCCCAAATTTGCTTTTTTTGTTTGTTTTGTTTTGTTTGAGGGCCACACCTGGTGTTCCTCAGGGGTTACTCCTGGCTTTGCACTCAAGAATCACTCTTGATTGGCAGCTCCGGGGACCCGATGGGATGCCAGGGAATGAACCCCAGTCACCTGTGTGCAAAGCAAGCACCCTACCCACAGCCTCTGCTTTCTTTTTTGTTTTGTCTTCTTTTTTTTCTATTGAACAAAGGGGCTTCTTACACTGGTGGGGAACCGGGGTGCTGGGGTCAAGGAGAGGGCCCTACCACCTAAGACACAAGCAACCACAGGAAACAAAGAAATGCACCTTGGAGTAGGTGGCGAGCAGCTTTGTTTTAAGCGAGGCAGCGACAGAGTGGGGCGGAATACGGTGGGGGACTTGGCAGGAGCTTAGGAAGGACCCTGGCCAGCACCACCCCCACCCATCATGGGGCCCTGCCAGTGGGAAGGTTCCTCTGGGGGCGGGGCCCGGCTATTTCTGTTCGCTGCGGGTTGGCAGAGGCGGTGGCCCCCAGCCTGGGCCCACACACCCCGTGCTGGCCTGGCCAATACCCATTAAAGGCGTAATCCACAGCCGGTGGCAGCCCCAGCCTCGCAGGCCTCCTGCTAAACCACACCCTCCGCCCTCATCTGCCCAACCAACACCCCCCCATCCCCGAAATCACCCTCGGGCCCCCCCCACAAGAGCCCAGTCTAGGACTTCAGCATCCCTACAGGCCCCTCCCGAGCCCACCCCCAGGCCCTCTCCAAGGAACCTGCAAGGAACCTCCTCACCGGAAGTTCCCCACCCCTGCCCCAGCCGCGCTTCCCAGGGTGCCCACCACCCTGAGCCCCCCTCGGCAGGCCCCATTCGGCCTCCCGGGACCCCCCTCCCGCCCCCGCTGGCTCCTGCATCCCCGCAGTTGCCGGGTCCCGGGACCACCCCCCGCCCCGGCCGGAAGTGCAGCCCCGGCCCGCGCCCCGGCCCCGCGCCCGGCCCGGCCCGGCCCGACCCGGCCCTTGCGCCGCGCGGCCCCGGCGGGCCCACCTGCGCGCCCATCTGGTTCAGCCGCTGCATGTCGCCGCCCACGGCCTCGGGCACCGGGTCCTGCGTGCAGTGCAGGCGGCCCATGGTCCAGCCGCCCGGCCGCCGCCGCCCCGCGCCCGCCGCGCTTCCGCAGCCGCACTTTCGCCACGGCCGCTCCGGGCACTCCCCGCCCCGCGCCCGCGGCCGGCCCGCCCGCCGCGCCGCCCCGCGCCCGCCCGTCCGCCCGCCGGCCGGCTGGCCGGCCTTGCTGGCTTCATTTCCCCCCACCCCATTTTTTAAAAAAATTTATTTTTCAAATCTCAGGCCATGTTTTCCGGTCCTGTGATAGGGCACAGCGAGCATCGTGTCCTCCTGGCCTTGCACGCGACCCACCGGGCTCGGTCCCCGGCACAAGGCGGGGGATTCCCCCAGCCCTGCAGCAGTGAGCCCTGAGTAGAGAGGAAGGAATAAGCCCTTAAGCCCTGCTGGGTGTGCCCTGCCCCCCCTCCAAAAACACACACACACACACAAACCCTCAACAGCCGACCTAGCACCTGATCCCTGGCACCACCCCATAATTAGGGTCCCCTAGCTTGCCAGGAGTGAGGCCAAGATGAGGCCCCCCCAATAGAAGAACGTGAAGCCAACAAAGCAGTGTAGGAGACAGAGGAAGCAACTGAGTAGGCGTCCAAGCAGGAGCGATATCCAACCAAGCACTGAGTCAGGAGCAAGGAGCAGTCCCTGAGCAGCGCTGGACGTGGACCCCCGCCCCCAAAACAAAGCAAAAAAGCAGCATAATATTCTCTTGAATGAGATAAAAGTCATACATAATGCCCAATTTTAAAATTTGACTGAGAACTTTGCAGTAAGCACAGACAATATATAAAGATCATCTCTCCTGATACAAGGTGGGGCCCTTCCCTTATATGGGACCCAGTTGGATTCAGCAGGGGTGATAGTCTCCCAAGCCCCACCAGGAGTCAGGGTAAACCCTAGAATGGCAAAAAAAAAAAAAAAAACCACCAACAAAAAAAGCATCTTTCCAAAGTTTTCCAAATCCACCCTCACATGAGGGAACAAATGGGAATCCTGCTTAATGCTGGGAGTTTGTGGCAGGAAATGCAGATCTGGGCCAAGCCCCAGCAGCTGCCATTTCAGTCTTAATGAGGGACCTTGCTCCCTTGCATTCACTTTAAAATGTCCTAGTGGAGTGTAAAGGAGACCCCTGCGTTCTTGCCCTGCAAGTGAAAAGAGTTCATTAAGAAGTTCCCCAGGATTCCTGCTGGGAGCAGTACCCAGGGGGCCAGGTTCTTACCAGCAGGAAGGTCAGGCCCTTCTCACTAAGAAACGCCAAAAGCACACACACACACACACACACACACACACACATTTAAAATTACACCTTGTATTTGAAGATCACTGAGGATTCACATCCAGTTGGTCTCTCTTATTCAGGGGGACCTTGGATCAGTGTCTTGGTTTTGCTGGAGGCACTGATCCATCTCCCAGAGGTCTAGTACCACACACACACACACACACACACACACACACCAAGGAGATATTGACTTTAAGATTGAATGTCTGTTTCCCTCACAAGGATCCTGCATGTCGCCCAGAGGCATTGAAAGGAAAAGCACAAATTCCAGATCTTCTACCAAAACCTGGGGTTGGAGGGGTTGATGGTGGTGGTGGTTGGGGGTGGGTGGGTGCAGGTAACACTGTCGTTTTTAGTTCCAAGTTTCCATTTATAACCTTCCTCATCATAGTCATTACTATCTACTTCTTTGTTATATCACTGGCAAAGGAAGGCTGGGGAATCAGTCCAGCTTGAAAGACATTTAAATTATACTTTAAATTTACAAAGACAAGATGAGGGCCTGAGTTGATAATACAGCAAGCAGGGCACAGGCAAGTGTGCCCCCCGCAAAAAAAAAAAAAAAAAAAGACAAGTTGAGGCCTAAGAGCCGGCCCGTGCCAGGTAAGCACTAGTATGTGTGAGGCTCTGTGTTCGATCCCTGCCACTGCATACGGTTCCTCCAGCATGGCTAGGAATGATCCCTAAGCACAGAGTCAGGAGCAAGCCCTGAATATCAGTGAGTTTGGTCCAACACACACACACACACACACACATACCCAAATAAAAAGTAAATTTTGCTGTCCCCTGCTTGCAGGGGAAATAATTTCTTATTCTACTTATTCGAACCTGGCTTGGCCAGGCCAGTGGCTTGCAAGGTAAACGCCCTAGCACAGCGGTAGGGCGTTTGCCTTGCACGCAGCCAACATGGCCGACCCGAGTTTGATTCCTCCGCCCCTCTAGGAGAGCCCACCAAGCTACTGAGAGTATCTCGCCCTCATGGCAGAGCCTGGCAAGCTCCCTGTGACGTATTCGATATGCCAAACACAGTAACAACAAGTCTCCAATGGAGGCGTTACTGGGCCCGCTCGAGCAAATCGATGATCAACGGGAGGGCCTTTACTTATTCATTTATGCTGGTTTGGGAGCCAACAGTGCTCTCAGTTGGGTCACTTTCAGTGGTGTTCAGGGGACCACACAATGCTGGGAATTTAAACCCAGGACCCCACACGTGTAAGGTAAGTGCTCTGCCCCTGAGTCATGTCCCTGCCTGGTTTTCTTCTTTGGTGTTTGGACCACACCCAGCTGCGCTCAGAACTTACTCCAGGTTCCGCTCTCAGGATCACACTCCTGGCTGCCTCCAGCGACCATCTAGGGTGCTGAACACTGAAACTGGTGGACAGCATGGGGGGCGGTACCCCACCCACTGTACTGTCACTCTGGCCCTGCTTTTGATTTTAATATGATATCCATTGATGACCCACGCTGGGAATGTTGGCTATGTACCTGCATTTTCTCACCTTTATACCAGGAGGTCAGAACTTTCTGGTTTTTCGTTTGTTTGCTTCCCTCAGAGGGGAGTAATGGGGTCGCTCAGGGCATGTGGAGGCTAAGAGGTGGAAGGAGACCGTATCCTCTCCTGTGTGCTCTCAGGATTGCTCCGGAAAGACCGACTGGATTTCCTTCCCCCCACATCATTTATTTACCATTATGGCCAAGCTGGGTTCGATTTCTCCACCCCTCTCGGAGAGCCTGGCAAGCTACCAAGAGTATCTCACCCGCACGGCAAAGCCTAGCAAGCTCCCTGTGACATATTCGATATGCCAAACATAGTAACAAGTCTCAAAATGGAGACGTTACTGGGCCCGCTCGAGCAAATCAGTGAACAACGGGAGGACAGTGCTAATGGTCCATGGACCTATGTATAGCTATACCTTTGATTCTGCACAAAGTGGTGCATCTTGTGCCTCCTTCTGAGTGCTAAGGAATTTGCCGTTTGTTAATTGCAGTCGGTGAATAAATCTCACGCATGGACGCTACTTACTGCAAAGGTGTCCCAACTGCTAGATGAATATAGGGTGTGCCTGGGCCTTCACTATTACAAAAATCAGGGGAGGGCTGGGTCTCAACTGCGGACTTAGCAGGGCCTGAGTTTAAGCCCTGGTACCAAACAGCCCTCTAAACCCTGCCTGGTATGGCCCTGGGGCCTCCAGCACTGCTCTGTCCACCCAGCACTGTAGTAGCACTAGCTGGAACCCTGAAACATCAGACCCACACAGATGGGCCAGGGACCAACGACCCGGCGAGGGGCCCCAATTGCCTGAGCACTGACTTGGAGGTTCCCCAGAAAAAGAAAAAAAAAAAGAGAAAGGAAGACAAACACCAGTAGAGCTCACTATCTGTGCTTCTGTGCTTGTGAGCGCAGTGAGGCTGCAATTGCCGCTCACTGTGCCATAAACCGTCCCTCTGGGTCAGAGAGAAAAGGGGACGTCAGCTTTGTGGATCTGCTGGCGCATTCCCACAGCTTGTCTTTACCGAACACCTACAGAGCTTGGTGTGTCCTGCTCTTGCTGGGCCAGAGCAGGGGGGAAGTCAACAACAAAACAAAAGCCCCTGCTGGGAGGCTGTTAGGAGTGGAGGAAATGAGACAGTTAAACGAGAGGATTTAAATAAAAGGGAAAACAGGCCTTCGGGACCACGTAGGGCACAAATACACCAAGTTTTGTGCATTGTGTGGCAAGGAAGAAAAGTCAGGTTTTCAGGTGGGCTCCCAGGAAGCTTGGAGAGACAGCTCAATTCCACTTTCGATTTTTTAGATCTATAAATTAACGTAAACAACTCTGCATGGTTGGATTACTAGGACAGCTACAGTTCTCTGGTTTCTAGAACGGATGTGGTGAAGAACTTGCACTTCTTTTATTTTTATTTTTTGGTTTGAGGGCCATACCTGGTGGTGCTCAGTGCTCACTGCTGGCTCTGCACTCAGGAGTCACTCCTGGTGGTGCTCCAGGGCCCATCTGGGATCCCGGGGATCAAATCTGGGTTGACTGCATGCAAAGCAAGTGCCTTACCTGCTGTACTATTGTTCTACGCACCCTCCCCGCAAACTTTTCAAGTCTTTGCAGACCTGGGTTCCTTCCAGGACACTGTATGGTCTCCTGAGCACCAACAGAAGGGATTACTCCCCATTCCCCAGCAAAGATCTGGGAGTAGCCCCTAAGCCATGCCAGGTGTGGCCCAAATGCCCTCCCTGTCCTCCCCCTTCTCTAAGGGGGACCTTAGAAAAGTCTTCCAAGGGGCCAAGTCGGTAGGGCACTTGCCTTGCACTCGGCCAACCCGGGTTCAATCCCCGGCATCCCTTATGATTCCCCCAGCACTGCCAGGAGTGATTCCTGAGTGCAGAGCCAGAATTACACCCTGAGCATAGCCTGATGTGACCTAAAAAGCCAACAACAACAAGAACAAAAAGTCTTCCAAATGGCAAGGTTTTCCCTCAAAAATAGTTTTCAAAAAGCCTTGGAGTGCCCTTTAAGAAAGTCCCTTCTGTGGGCATTGAAACTGTCCATATACAAATTTGTTTTTTAAAGGACCCTTTGACAAGTCTTAGTTTTGAGGGTGGGGGTGTTAATGTTGTCACCTTTTGGGAATCTCGGCCTTTATTTCAAATTCAAGGTAGGAATCCTTTTGCCGGTGAAAATGAGATCTTAGTTGCTTTTGTCTTCTTTGTTTTTCTTCTCGGGATAATTATAAAGTGAATGCCTGGTCCGGCCCCTCTTGGGGCCGCTGAGCCAACTGGATGCTGTAAACAGTCCCTGGCCGGGAACCTTGAAGGAGTTACCTGGAG